TCAAAGGCCTTTTAGCATGGATCAAATGTCTTAATGGTCTGCTTGGATAGGACTAAATGTCCTGCAAGACTAATGACCATAGCTGTGAATGCAGGACTCCGTGAATATTTGCAGAGCCACCCAGAGATAAGGAATAATGTAGCTGTATAGTTATAGAACCGATTCTGTAAATCTAAAACTGTGGCACATATGTCCTAAGGCCCAGATATAACATTACTTTGTGCAATTCAATTTATTCCTAGAATTATTAATCTTTCCTAAGGCAAAGAATCTACAATTCTTCATAAAAGACTTGTGTTATTGAAAAATGTAACTACTTTAGCATAGCCTTATTTCACGTATAAGTGGAATACTCTAGCTCTCAAGGCACAAAACTTTGATATTGCATTTCATTTAGAAGACCTTGGAAAACAACATTTTCTTAATTTACTTAAGAATCACAAGAGGTCTCACTAACAATTCTGAACCCTAGATTGTCCAGTTTAGCTTCTGATCCAGTATTGCTAGGAAGAGAACCAGGAAATTTTATCAAATATCTGCTCCCTCCTCTGCTTCTCTTATTTTTTCTGGATGCAAGAGGTATTTAGCAGTCAGTTAGAACTGATCACTAATTGTTTTTTCTGGTTACAATAAGCCAACATCTGGATAGGTGGCATGGGTCTAAATCAACTAGGACAATCTCATCCCACCTCAATTCTGTCATTGCACAAATTCTTTCATGAATTCCCAGTATTTCTAGACATTGATACAGAACTCAGGTAAAAGGATGTATTCTACTAACTGACTTCTATTCTCAAACACTGCCTTGCTGTCTGACTCACAGTAAGGTATTTTCCATTACTTTAAGAACACTCTAATAGAAAACAACATTTTATTTCTTTAAGTTTGGCATTACACTACTTGTAGTAGTATAATGTGGTGGATAACCCCCCACCCCCCAGATATTTTTTATGTACTCACTTTTATAACTCAGCACCAATTAGCTGTAAACACCTTTAAAATATCATCACTAGTTTAAATTTACAGAATTGTTCTTATGATTATGAGAGGCTGCATCGAGTTAAAAGTCTGCACACCAAAAGAAACTAACAAAATGAAATGAAAAGATAATCTACAAAATGGGAGCAAATTTTGTAAACTACATATCTCCTAAGAGGTTAATATGTGAAATATATACAGAACAAACGCAACTCAATAATCATAATAAAGGAAATTAAAAATTTACCCCACCAGTTTGGCTCAGTGGTTGAGTATTGACCTGTGAACCAGGAGGGCATGGTTCAATTCTAGTCAGGACAAATGCCAAGGATGCAGGCTCAACACCAGTGTAGGTTGTGCAGGAGCTAGCCAATCAATATTTGTCTCACATCATTGATGTTTCTATCTCTTCCTTTCTCTCACTTCTTCTGAAATCAATAGAAATATATCTTTAAAATATTGGCAGGGGAGTAGTGCCTGTGCTGCTCAGTGGTTGAATGTGGACCCTGAACCAAAGGTCAAGGTTTGATTCCAGGTCAGGACAAATGACAGGTTTGTGGATTTGATCCCCAATAGGGTGCAAGCAGGAGGCAGGGAAATAGATGAATCTCATCATTGATGTTTCTGTCTCCCTCACTTTCCCTGAAATTAATAGAAAAAAAATGGCAGGGGATTTCTACAAACATTTTTGCTGAAGAAGACATACAAATGGCCAACAAGTACGTGAAAATGTAGTGGAAAATCTTCAGGGAAAAGCCAATCAGAGCCACAATGAGATATCACCACAACCTGTTAGAATGGCTGTCATCAAGAAGACTACCAAGTGTGAAGCAAAGGAAATCCTTGTACAGCATTGGTAGGATTATAAGTTGGTATAGCCATGATGGAGAACAGTTATATTCTTTAAAAATATAACTGCCATCTAATACAGAAAAAATACCACTTCTTGGTATATATTCAAAGGAAGTGAAAATAGAATATGGAAAAGATATCTACACTCCATGACCATTGCAGCATTTTTCATAATAGCCAAGACAAAAAAATAACTTATGTCCTTCAACACATGAATGGATAAAGATGATTTTACATACACAATCATATGTTATTCAACCATGAGAAAGAAGAAAATTCTTCCATTTGTGAAAACATACATGGTTCCAGAAAGCATCATGTCAAGTGAGAGTCATCAGACAGACAACAATAAATACTGTATAATAATATAACATACATGGAATCTTAGAAAGCTTAATTCATAGACACGGAGAGTAGAATGGTGAAATAAGAGCCTTTGGATTTTGGAAAATAAGGATATGTTGATCACAGTGTACAAACTTGGAGTTAAAAGATGAATAATTCTGTAGATCTGGAGATTACCATGATTACAGTCAACAATACTTCAAAGGTGATAAGAGACAAGATCTGAAATGTTCTCACCACAAAAAATTAATGATTATGTGACGTGGTAGGAGTTTATCTAGTGCTATGGTGTTAATCTTACTGTAGTTTGTAAATATATACAATTAACATGTTGTATACCTTAAAACTACACAATTATTTACATAAATTGAG